CTGTTTACTGAGAACTCAGAATGGCAGGATTTGAATCAGGATCCCCAAATCTACCAACAATTGAATTTTAAGACTAAAGACAGTAACATTCCTGTGTTTGGACTTTTTAAAAAAATTATTATTATTACTTACAAAACAATGCTACTTACTACAAATAGTTATTGTGAAAATAAATTAGTTGCTACCTGTACGTAATTTAGAGCAAGGTCTGGTACATCATCATAATGATGTAATTATTATTATGAATAATAATAAATGTTAAGTACTTTAGTTAATATCTCATTTAATCTTTTTAAAGAATTATTTGATTAAACTATCAATATTATTATTATTATTTTCCAGTTTGATCAGAGTGAGAGAGAGAGAGAGAGAGAAAGAAAACAAGTCACTTGGTCCAGGACCTGAACCGTGGTGGACAATGTGGGAGTCCTGAGACTTTAACCACAACGCCACCTGCCGGCCCCCTCATCTAATCTTAACAATTCTGACAGTGCTCTTAACATAATTCTCATCTTGGAAATTAAGAAAAAAATTTAAATGGTTAATGAATTAACTACGGTCACATCGTTTTTGGATAGGGGCCAAAAAGGCGACCCAGGGCCGTCCTACTCCCTAAGAACCACTTCTGTTAAAAAGCGACGCTCTACCGTTTGGTGAGATATTGGTGAAACAGCGTCAAAGACTGCATGGCTCAGGTGGGAGCAAAACCGGGAGAACCGTCTCCAGAGTCCCATTCAGGCCACCCCTAGACAGGAGCGAAGGGACTAGAAAAACAATGGCTGAAGCAGAAAGAACTAATGAGGGGTTCATCCTCAGCTTAGTGACCCATGTGATCCCCACCTCGTCCGTCCCCGCAGCTCACCAAGGGTGGCGGTAGCCAGGGCTGGGTTGTGTGGACTTAGCAGGCCCATAAGGGATGCCACCAGCTGATTCAGGAAGGGTGAGGCGATCGCCTCGTTCTCCTGGTACAGGGGCGCGCGCCGCTTGCGCCGCAGGTAGAAGTGTTCCTGCAGGAGGCAGTCGCACGTGGCGGCGCGCAGTGCCGCCAAGTCCAGCGTGGGCGCGGGCGCGGGCTCCGCAGGCGGCGGCGGCAGACCCGACAGGAACACGGTCTTGGTGAAGCCCTGGTACCAGCGGTCGGCGTTCAGGGCGAAGGTCTGCGGGTAAACCACGTACTTCTTGAATTGCACCTTGGTGAGGATTCGCAGCTTCTCGTCCACCGATTCAGCCGCGTGCACTATGGCCTGCCAGCGCTCCACCCGCCGCTGCCGGGCAGCCTTGCTGTTGGCAGTCAGGGAGGCCACAATCGGCGGGCAACGCTCGACGGGGGGCGT